GTCACACATGAAAACTTTTTATAAAGAATATGATCTGGGAATTAAAACCTTTAACAACTTCCTAGACTTTTCATTGACTACCTAAAGGGCTGTGTCCAGTGGATGTTACCAGATCTCCCTAATGAAACATCTACTCTACATCATACCTACCTATTCTACTCCCATTCCCACTATACAATCTTGTTTTATTTTCTTCTTATTGTCCTTATCTAAAGTCACCTCACTTTTTTAACTGCCTGTCCACACTCTGCCTCCACAAATGTAGTTCCACTGAGCAGCAAACCCAGTACTGACACTCAGTAGGTACTCAATAGTTACTTGTTGAATGAAAGAACATTCATAATTAAACATCTGCCAATAAAATTGTATCCCATAATGCACAACACAGTTTTTATCTCATCTCTCTCTCTGCCTGTCACACAAATAGATAGAAAAATCTTTTTAAAAAGAGAGAACATAAGAGATAAAACATTTTTTTAGATTTAGAAATTTGCAGAAAAATGAAACTGTAACTGAAGAATCAGGATTACTTGACCTGCCTAACTCAGAAGAACTCTTTGCCCTTTGAAGGTTTATCTACTTGAACTAATAATTAAGTTCAATAATTTATATTATCATAGGATTCCTAACTAACCCAAGATATCAAATCAACCTAGGTGTCTATCAACAAATGAATGAATAAAGAAAATATGGTATGTTCCCATAATAGAATACTATTTGGCATTAGAAAAAAAAGTGAGATCCTCTCATTTATGAAAATATGGAGAATCTGGAGAACATTATGTTAAGCAAAGCAAACCAGGCACAGGAAGATAAGTAACACAAAATCTCACTCATGCATAGAATCTGGAACACAATCTTAAACAGAGAGGAAGTCACCAGAGGCTGGGATGGGGGCAAAAGGAAGAGGTTCATAGAAAGAGGTTGCTTGAGAAGTGCAAAGTTGCAATTAGATGGAAGCAATAAGTCTGGAGTTGTACTTACAGCACTGTGATGATGATGTCAATGATGATATATTGTACAATTCAAATGAGCTACAAGAAAATTTTGAATGTTTCACAAGACAGAAATGGTTTTGAGGTGATGGATATGCTAATTACTCTGACTTGATCAATACTCTATGTATATATGTATCAACACATCACACTGTACCCTATAAATATATGTAATTATTATATGTCAATTAAAAATAAAAGAAAACACACAATATATATACACACACAAAGTCTGCTACTGCCTATTACCATAAATGTTAAAACTGCAATTTGCAACTTAACCAAGAGATAAATGGAAAAATATATTTATTCTGAGGTTAAACCTGCAAAAGTTGTTTCCTCAAGTAATGGGATATTAAAAGTAGTTGGTTGCTAGTTTTAAGGAATAAGCTGGTGTCGGATCCTTCTTAGTGCCCTAAACCAGATTTGGTTCAGAAGGTGAAGGTGGGGCTCTGTGGTTGGGTGGCTCCCATCCATCCTGGAGCTCAGCCGGAGGCCTTGAGGGGATCTTGGGGAATGTGCGGCAAAGCTGCTCCACACTCACACCCACCCAATGCAGACAGCAGCAGCTAGACATCATAATCTTTCTCTCTAGATCACTTTTTTTTTAAGATTTATTTATTCATTTGAAAGGCAGGGCTACAGAGGCAGAGGCAGAGAGAGAGAGAGCTTCCTCCAGGTCTCCCACATGGGTGCAGGGTCCCAAGGACTTCATGTGCATTTGAGTAGGCTTCACTTCAGTTATGAGATTGCCTGGTGAAAAGGTCACCAGCATGTGGTGTGAGAACAGCAGTCTCCACTCAGCCACGGGGACAGCACCAATGCCGCCAATCTGGTAGACATCCTGTAGGGCAGATGCTAAGTTGTCAGATGTCCAGTTGGTGGGAGGAGGCGAGCCAGGGCTCCCAGCAGTGTGAATCACTGGCATTACAGTCATGCCGGTGTCTTCCCTTCCTTGGAAAAGTTGCATTCCCAGTGCTGAGGATATTTTCACCATTCCAAACAGAAATCGGCACAAGTGCTATCGTGTCTCGCCAGTGCAGTCCCCATTCATTACCAAGACCCCCATGTTACGGGAGTGTGAGCCCTGGCTAGGCTTGGGCCAGCTTCCTGCCTCCAGGTGAGAGAGAATCAAGGAAGACATGTGGATAAAGGTGAGCAGAGAAGCAAACTACTTCAAGACAGAGGGAAAGTCCACAAGCAGGAGCAAGGTTAACCTCCAGGAGAGAACGCTGCTGCTAGCAGAGTTTGGGGCTGTCCTTTCCTAGTCCTGGAAGCACAGGGGCCAGTGTCTGTGGCTTAAGTGAACATTTAAGTAGGGGGAGGCTTGCGGCAGGGTTTGAGGGGCTTCTACTTGTGTGCCAACCTTTGGGCATTTTCGAGTTGTCATGGCACTGGTGGATGATGGGAGTGGGGCTTGGACAGCACACACAGGGCTGTAGTGCACACAGGGCTCTCTCATTTCAGTTTCCCTCTTTCCCTGGGAATCTTGGTCCTTTCTCTCAGCCTCTGAATACATACCCTTATGCTTCCATTTTCTCTGAAGCTGGGCTAGTTTTGTGCCTTATTCTCAACAAAGATATGGAAAGTGCCCCTTCTGAAGGTATCTTCCACTGAAGCTAATGCTCATGCCCATTACACAAATACATTTCACTCCCCTGGGAAGCTCCCTGTACTACCAGGCTTATTCAAGTGCCTCACACCTTGGGCCCAGTGGGTCCCCCATACAAAGAGCAGCAGCTCATTGTCCCAAATGTCATCTTAGATTGTCTAAATGGTCCACAAGGAAATCACCAAATCCTTCCTTCCATGTCAACTTTGGATTCCTTGTCTGGCCTGGGCTTATGCAATTTTTATCTCAGAGTGTTGCAGCTCCTGCCAACCTCTGAGCTGTCCACAGTGCTGATGCTGTGTGTGTGGTGTTGGCCACACAGTGGTGGCCTGGGCCTCAATGCCAAACAGAAGGCCAGCAGCTCAGGGGCTTGGACATATTTTGTTCTTCACCCTGCTCGGGGACTTTGACTTGCAGTTCAGGACAGATGGAATCTCATTTTGGTGTTTCTGGACAAAAGCCATGGATTACGTGAGATTGGTGTGATGGAGTCTTTATTCTTCTGGTGAGAGCAACACCTACAGAAAGGGCAGCAGGGCCTGGGGCATCTTGTTGGAAGATGTCAGACAGCTGCTACTCAGTGTCTTGAGGTATCAAAGCTAAGGACCACAGAAAACTGAAGTTTCATCATTATCCTATATAGGCATTTGCTTAGTCTTTACAGAAGTATCTAATAGGATAAATTACTTTCTTATGAAAAACACACAGTTGGTATATTATATTTTTTGTTTGTTGTCTTTCTGTCAGGAAAATTTCTGAGTAAAATCAACCCATTCACTAAACAGGGGAAAATACTAAATGAGACAGAAATGTACTTTGTACTCATGTCCCCTAATACATGACAGCTCTTAGGATGGTCAGCTTGGTGCACTGTAACTTAAGCATTATATTCAGCATGTGAGCGGTCTCCACAGGGAAACATGATCACAGGCATGTGGCTGACCACACAGGTGTGTGCGTATGGTAGAGAGCATGAAGCTCTGGTTGAGGGGTGAACAAGAGACCCAGATTGGAGTTGCTGGCATTGGTTTCCGACCCCCAAGTGCCCACAAGCACCAGGGCCTCGAACTCTGTCCAAGGACAGGGACCCAAGTACTGAGCATCAGCACTGCCTGCCAGGGTTTGCCTTAGGCAGCAGCCAGGACTCCAACCCAGGCACTCAAATGGGGAATGCAGGCCCTCTAAGCCATTTCTGAGGCGCTGAGCCAAAGGCCTCCCCCGAAACTTGATTTTACAAATAGTAATATTAATACTAATAACAGACACTACGTTGGAGAGGAGTTTTAGGTTTTCAGGAAATCGAGCAGGTGCACAGTTCTCACGCAGCCCTCCCTTGTGGGTCAACAGCTTCCTCTGTCATGATCTCGTGTGTGTGTGATATCAGAAGAATAGAAATGTGGGCTTATCCTCCAAAGTCCAGGGTCAGCTTCAGGTCCAGGCTTTGTGCCATGCGCTTGTGATGAGGCAGAATACCAGGTATAAAACATGACAGCATCGTACAGAACAGCTGCCCTGCTCTGGCAGTTGGCTAGGAGGGGTTGACGGCATGCAGAAATGCTACCCTAAAGCCCAGCTCCGGGGCATTGGAGCAAGGAACAAGGCAAGGGGGCCAGTGTTGCCTTCTCCTCTGCAGGTCCTAGGATTCTCACCCAAGCGGTGCCCTCCAGGGCTGGCACTGTGGTGCAGCGGGTAAAGCCGCCATCCTACATGGGCACCACTTTGTGTCCCGGCCACTGCAGTTCTGATCCAGCTCCCTGCCAATGGCCTGGGAACACAGAAGAGGATGGCCCAGGTACATAAGCCTTGGATACCCATGTGGAAGTCCTCAAAGAAGGCAGCCTCTGCCTGCCAGCCTCACGGGGACTGCGAAGCACAGCGCGCGCATTGGCCGTTGCCCCGAGCAGCCAGCGCAGTGGTGACCACAGCAAGTGAGTGCGCGGCACAGAGGGCAAGGGGCTCAGGACATACCTTGATCACATATGAGTTGTCTACAATGGCGCCCCCTGGCGCTCCACGGTGGCGGCGACCCCAGACTCTCTGGTGGCGGCTGGGGGCCAAGGCCGCGGCGAGGTCACCAGGCCTGCCTGACTGCCCTCAGGAACCCCATAAATCCTCTTCTTTAGCACTTCTCAAGTACCTAAGTTCACCGTTACAAAAGGTCCACACACTGCAGAAAACCAACCTCCAGACTGTGATGCCTCGGACCAGCCCAGAGATCCCCCCAAACTCCCAGCACATTTGCTTTTGTAAAGAACAAGGCAGAGGAGTGGTCCCTCCAGGGCTGTCTCCAGGTCGCCAGTAGGGGCTCCTTCACTGCTTCATTCTTTTTTCTTCTTTCTTCTTTCTATGACTGGAAAAATTAGGCCCTTTAAGTCTGGGGGTTCAGATATCTGCTAGTCGTCAGGCTCATCGTCATCGAACAAGTGGTACATCCGAACGAGTTCCACGACGTCATGGGGCAGTGAAGCCCAGGCTGTACAGGAGTCCAGATGGATGTTGTGCAGATCGGCGGGCAGCGGGTCCTCAGCAGTCTCGGGGCCCTGCGCCTGGGAGCTCCTACGGTCATGATCTTCCTGCGAGGGCGTGCTGAGCTCTGAGCCGGGCAGTGGTGGCAACTCCCTGAGGTGGCACTGCTGACCCATTCGCTGTTGTTTGCTTTTCTTGGTGCGCTGGTTTTTAAACCAAGTCTGGGGAGGAAGGGAGGGAACAGGTTACTCCAGGGGCAAGGACGCCAGGGAGACCCCATGAGCCTCAGAAGCTCGGGGCCCTTGTGGCTTGGGCACGCTGGGCTCAAGCCTCTTTCTCAAAGGCTGTGCGAGGCCCGAGAGGGAGCCGCAGGCATCAGGTAAAGGGGAGGGGGCCGGGCAGCCTCTGCCCTGCTCCCAAGGGATCTTCAGCAGCAGAACCTAGAACTTTCTGCGCTAGGCTTTGCACCACAAAGGCTCACGTTCTGGGAGCTCGGTCTCTCAGGACACAGTACTGAGAGGTGCAGAGACCCTCGGAGGGGAGGCCTGGTGGGGTCATTCGCCCATGGGGTCGATGCCGCCTCGAACTCTTTCAAATAAATAATAAATAAATCTTAAAAAGAAATTCTGTCTCATTGCCTCTCACACAATACATTTAAAGAAATACACTTTGGAAATGCGATGCCCCCACACACGTCTTTGCTCCGCCTGCGGGGGCTGCTCTGGGCTGTCTCCCGTGGGCTGGGCGGAACCATCCACCAGGCAGGGTCCTCGCCACAGGCTCAGACATGAACTCTTCTGCCCCAAGGTAGCCGCGAGCGCCAGGGGAAGTCTATCTTTTAAAGGGCCCAAGCTCAAGGAGTTTGAGACCAGCCCCGGGCAGCCTCTGCCTGCCAGCCTCGCAGGGACTGAGAAGCACGTGCATTGGCGACTGCCCTGAGCGGCCAGCACAGCGGTGACCGCATGCGAGTGAGTGCGTGGCACGGAGGGCGCAGGGCTCGGGACATACCTTGATCACGCACTCATCCAAACATAGCTTTGCTGATAACTCTTGTATCTTCTCCCAGTCAGGACAGGGGGTCGTTTCGAAAACAGCTTTCAACATCCCCAACTGGTCGGGGGTAAAGGCCGTGCGGCTGCGGCGAGCACACCTGGGCGCTGCAGAGGGAACAGGAACAAAGGGCTTTGGTTTGCTTTCAGAAACAATCCATTGGCCATCCTGATGCCGGCTTTGGCTCCAGCAGCCACTGCATGCATTTCAGGAGCGAGCCGGTAGACAGCAGCGCTCTCGGGGTCTCTCCTCTTTGCCTGGGTCTCCCAAAGGAATTTTGGAAAATGCACCCTGGAAGGCAGAGCCTGATATGGTCATGCATTTTCGCCATGAGCTTGAGCTTCACGAGGGGAAGATGTCCTGCTGCCACACACACACACACACACACACACACACACAAACATAAATACAAACCCACACACACAGAAAGACACAGACACAGAAACTCACATACACAGAAAGTCACACACACATACATACTCATACATACACACCCACACACCCACGACATACATACATACATAAGAACCCAACACTAACACAAAGACACATACAGACACACACAGTAAGATACACACATATACATACACACATATGCATACATATATACAAACCCACACACACACATGCATACATACATAAATGCACATACATGCATAAATACACACCTACACACTCACACCCACACCCACACCCACACACTGTGAAGGCAAGTGCCAAGCTTGCAGTTTTCTCCAGCTCATGAGAAAGACAGAGAGAGAGACAAACAGAGAGAAAAACTGCATAGGGCTTTGGAGGAAGCCCTCAGCCATGGAGGGGTTGGAAAGAGATGGAGAAAGAGCCGCAGGCAGAGGAGAAGGAGGCCAGAAGCACATGTGCGTGGTTAGAATGCAGCCACTGGGGCCGGCCCCTGGGAGGCCTTGCAATGCTGGGTTCCTATCCCAGAGTCCCAGTTGGAGTCCCAGCTGCTCCACTTCCCACCCAGCTCCCTGCAAATGCACCTGGGAAAGCAGTAGAAGATGGCCCAAATATTCAGGCTCCCACACCCACCTGTGAGACCCAGATGGAGCTCCTGGCTCCCGGCTCCTGGCTTTGGATTGCACCAGCCCTTGGCCACTGCAGCTACAAATACAAAGTAATTTTTTTCATTTTCAGAAGGCGCCTGGCATTGTGGCAGAGTGGGTAAAAACCCACCAAGGCAACACTGGTGTCCCATGTGGACACTGGGGCAAGGCCCAGCTGCCCCGCTGCCTATGCAGCTCCGTGCTCATGTGTCTAGCAAAGCAGCAGACAACAGCCAAAAGATAGGACCCATGCACCCACGTGGGAGAGCTTATTTTTGTAATAAAACTTGAATTCAGGGCCGGCGCCGCGGCTCACTAGGCTAATCCTCCGTCTAGCGGCGCCGGCACACCGGGTTCTAGTCCCGGTTGGGGCGCCGGATTCTGTCCCGGTTGCCCCTCTTCCAGGCCAGCTCTCTGCTGTGGCCAGGGAGTGCAGTGGAGGATGGCCCAGGTGCTTGGGCCCTGCGCCCCATGGGAGACCAGGAAAAGCACCTGGCTCCTGGCTCCTGCCATCGGATCAGCGCGGTGCACCGGCCGCAGCACGCTGGCTGCGGCAGCCATTGGAGGGTGAACCAACGGCAAAGGAAGACCTTTCCCTCTGTCTCTCTCTCTCACTGTCCACTCTGCCTATCAAAAAAAAAAAAACTTGCATTCAAGGATATACTTTCTTTTTTAAAAAAAAAACGAAGCTCTATTCATTTATTTGATGGTCAGAGTTACACAGAGAAAGAAGGAGAGGCACAGAGAGAGAGAGAACGAGAGAGAGAGAGAGTGTGTTCCATCCACTGGTTCACTCCCCAACTGGACACAATGACTTGAGGTGTGTCGATCCAAAGGCAGGAGCCAGGAGCTTCTTCCTGGTCTCCCATGCAGATGCAGGGGCCCATCTTTTCCTGCTTTCCCAGGCCATTCCCGAGAGCGGGATCAGAAGAGGAGCAGCCTGGACTTGAACCGGAGCCCATATGGGATGCCTGCACTTCCAGCCAGGGCTTTAACCCACTGCACCACAGTGCCGGCCCCATCAACGAACACTTTAAACAAAACTTTTTAAAAGAGAAAGATTGTATCTGTGTCTCCAGACAAGAAATGCACTCTACACTAGGTTGTTCCAATGCAAAGGAAAACATGAGAAAATACAGAGAGACTAAGAAATGCATGGAAAAAATGAGTCAAAAAATGGGTTCATTCTGATGCAAAAAACAATTTTTGAAAGCCATGCATAACTTTTTCTTTTCTTTTTATATTTAGATGGGCAGAGTTTGACAGTGAGAGAGAAACAGAGAGAAAGGTCTTCCTTCCGTTGGTTCACCCCTGCCCACCAAATGGTCAATAGGCCGGCCAGCACGCTGTGCCTATCTGAAGCCAGGAGCCAGGTGCTACCTCCTGGTCTCCCATGGGGTGCTGAGCCCAAGCAGCTGGGCCATCTTCCACTGCCTTCCCGGGCCACAGCAGAGAGCTGGACTGGAAGAGGAGCAACTGGGACTAGGACCCAGCACCTATATGGGATGCCAGCGCCACAGGCAGAGGATTAACTGAGTGAGCCACGGCCACTGTCCCCATAACTTTTGCTTCACCCCTAGTTTCCCACACACTTTGTGAAGACCTCTTATCTGCTTAGGTTTCCAAACAGTTGTTCCCCAATCAAATGTTTTAAAATCAATTTCCACCCTGTGTCACATAAACATTTAAAAGATCTGAACAGTGAAACTGCTAAGCAAATTGAAAACACAAGTTTCAAGACTGGAAGGTTTTCTGTGCAACCAACATCAGAGTTTCTGGGAGACAACAAAGATACTCTACAAAACAACCAAAAACGAAACGCACAGTTCTTTAAAATGAGAAAGGTCAGAAACAGGCAATGAGCATTCAAGAGGAAGCAGAATGGTGTCTAAAACAGTGATGCAGCTCTGTCCCCTCGATGGCTTGGGAAGTGCGTCACAGACAAGAGATTATGGAAGACCCAACAGGCTGCCATGTTAACTGTATGACAGTCACGGGCATCCAAAAGGATGGGAGAGACGACGGACACTCACTCACTGCTGGCGGGAGCCCAGTAGCAAACTGTGCTCCTGTTTGCTCCATTGCTATAAGCCAGCGATCCCGCCAACGGCCAACCTGGTGCCGGCATGGCTTGGCCTACCACCAAGCAAGCCCTGCACAGCCAACCTCTCGCCCACCCGCCTCGGCCACTTGCTCACTCGACATCACGACTCGGACCGGCAGTATTTCCGAAGCTGCTTCTTCTCCAGCGTCTGTGTTTGTCTGCCCCCTGCCACCCGGACGGCTCCTTTCTAGAACAGAGCCAACTCCTGACGGTATTAAGTCACACCCTAGACCAGATTGGCAGATGTAGCACTTGAAGAGCTTATCAGATACATGGGATTAACAGATGCCAATTTACCTCGGAATCAGCCCTTAAGATGTTCGGATCCGGCTGAAGAGCCCATGAGAGTATTTTAGGCATGGAAAGCCAAGACACTCTGGAAAAAAAAAAAAAAAAAAAACCTAAATGAAAGATCTCTGCGAGTGAGAGAGATCCCAGTGGAAAGAACATGCCATCAAAGGAGGAGGTACCCTTCTCTGAAGGGAAGAGAGAATTTCCACTTTGACTATGACCTTGTCTAAATAAGATGGGAGTTGGCAAACTCAAAAGGCTTCCCTAACCTAGGCAACTCAATAGCCTAGGGTGATTACTGACCCCAGAAACAAGAGTGTCAATTTCTTAGTCAACAACAGGAGTCACTGTGCACTTCCTCCTCATGTAGGATCTCTGCCCTTCACGTGTTGTAAAATGTGAATTCTTCCTATAACTAGTACTCAAACAGTACTTGACGCTTTGTGTTTCTGCGTGGGTGCAAACAGTTGAAATCTTTACTTACTATATACTGTATTGATCTTCTGTATATAAAGATAATTGAAAATGAATCTTGATGTGAATGGAATGGGAGAGGGAGCGGGAGATGGGAGGATTGGATTGCGGGAAGGAGGCAGGTTATGGGGGGAAAAAGCCACGGTAATCTACAAGCTGTACTTTGGAAATTTAGATTTGTTAAATAAAAGTTAAAAAAAGAAAGAAAGAAAGATCAGTGCCCATATGGGCTGTTGGCGATGCAGGCTGGGGCTTTAACCCGCTGTGCGAAAGAGCCGTCCCCAATAAATAAAATCTTTAAAAACGAAAATACAATCAACTTTCTAAAAAAAAAATCCGAAGAAAGCGAGGAGGTGGTATGTTAATTAGCGTGACTGTGGTGGTAACAAGAAAATCAATCCTTTTAAAAAACACTTTTTATTACAGATATGTTGATTGATTTGAAAGGCAGAGTTCCAGAGAGGGAGAGAGAGGTCTTGCACTCGCTGTTTCACTCCCCAAATGGCCACAACAGCCAGAGCTGAGCTGTTCCGAAGCCTGGATCCGGAGCTTCTTCTGGGTCTGGGTCTGGGTCTGGGTCTCCCACACACACAGGCCCAGAGGCGCGAGGACTTGGGCAAATCCTCTACTGCTTCCCAGCCATAGCAGAAAGCTGGATCGGAAGACCAGGGCCCCTACGGGATGCAGGCACTGCAGGCCTCTCTCTCTCTATCACTCTCTCTCTCTCTCTCTCTCTTTATCACTATGTATCTCTCTCTACCTCTCTATCCCTATCTCTATCTCTCTGTATCTCTCTCTACCTCTATCTCATCACTAACTCTACCGCTCTGAACTCTGCCTTCAAACAAAGAAAAAAGAAAAAAATATCCCTGCCCTGCTGGAGCCCGAAGGAATCCCTCCCTCGCTCCTGATTGGACAGTAAGAGCAAGGGGGCGGGCCTGAGGCGCCTAGCGACCTGCGGGAAGCAGAGGCGAGAACTCTGGGAGAACTTGACCACTGGAAAGCGGGTCCGGGCGCCCGAGTCTCAGGCCCGTCCCCTCGTGCGTGGCCCGGGGAGGCCCGCTGCCCACCCACCGCCCGAGAGCACGCGGAAGACGGCAGCCCACGAACGTGGCCACCACGCCCTTGCGGCCCTGGATTTCGCGTTGTCTACGATGGCGCCCCCTGGCGCTCCACGGTGGCGGCGACCCCGGACTCTGGTGGCGGCTGGGGGCCAAGGCCGCGGCGAGGTCGCCAGGCCCGCCTGACTGCCCTCAGGAACCCCATAAATCGTCTTCTTGTGGCACTTCACAAGTATCTAAGTTCACCATTACAAAACGTCCACACACTACAGAAAACCAGCCTCCAGGCTGTGATGCCTCGGACCAGCCCAGAGAGCCCCCCAAACTCCCAGCACATTTGCTTTTGTAAAGAACAAGGCAGAGGAGTGGTCCCTCCAGGGCTGTCTCCAGGTCGCCGGCAGGGGCTCCTACAGACTGCTTCGTCCTTTTTCTTTTTTCTAGGACTGGAAAAAATTCGGCCCTTGAAGTCTGGGGGTTCAGATATCTGCTAGTCGTCGGGCTCGTCGTCATCGAACAAGCCGTACATGCGCACCAGCTCCCCGATGTCATGGGGCAGCGAAGCCCAGGGCGCTGAGGAGTCCAGATGGATATTTTACAGATCGGCGGGCAGCAGGTCTTCGGCAGCCTCGGGGCCATGCGCCTGGGAGCTCTCAGGGCCGTGATTTTCCTGCGAAGGTGTGCTGAGCTCTGAACCTGGTGGTGGTGGGGACTCGCCGGGCTGGCGGGAATGGCCCTTTCGCTGCAGTTTTCTTTGCTGGGCGCGCTGATTTTTAAACCAGGTCTGGGGAGGAAGGGAGGGAACAGGTTACTCCAGGGGCAAGGACCCCAGGGAGACCCCATGGGCCTCAGAAGCTCGGGGCCCTTGTGGCGTGGGCACGCTGGGCTCAAGCCTCTTTCTCAAACGCTGTGCCGGGCCCGGGAGGGAGCCGCAGGCATCAGGTAAAGGGGAGGGGGCCGGGCAGCCTCTGCCCTGCTCCCAAGCGATCCTCCGCAGCAGAACCTAGAACTTTGCGCACTAGGCTTTGCACCACAAAGGCTCACGTTCTGGGAGCTCGGTCTCTAAGGACACAGTACTGAGAGGTGCGGAGACCCTCAGAGGGGAGGCCTGGTGGGGTCATTCGGCCATGGGGTCTAAGCCGCCTCAAACTCTTTCAAATAAATAATAAATAAATCTTAAAAAAGAAATTCTGTCTCATTGCCTCTCACACAGTAAATTCAAAGAAACACAATTTGGAAACGCGTTCCCCGCACACACGTGTTTGCTCCGCCTGGCCTGCGTGGGCGGCCCTTGGCTGGCTCCCGCGGGCTGGGCGGAGCCATCCACCAGGCATAGTCCTCACCACCTGCTCACACTTGAACTCTTCTGCCCCAAGGCAGCCGCGAGCGCCAGGGGCAGTCTATCTTGTCAAGGGCCCACCCGCAGGGACTTCGGGACCAGCCCCGTGGCAGCCTCTGCCTGCCAGCTTTGCAGGGACTGCGAAGCGCGCGCCTTGGCGACTGCCCTGAGCGGCCAGCACAGCGGTGACCGCAAGCGAGTGAGTGCGTGGCACGGAGGGCGCAGGGCTCCGGACATACCTTGATCACGCACTCATCCAAACATAGCTTTGCCGCTAACTCTTGTATCTTCTCCCAGTCAGGACAGGGGGTCGTTTCGAAAACAGCTTTCAACATCCCCAACTGGTCGGGGGTAAAGGCCGTGCGGCTGCGGCGAGCACACCTGGGCGCTGCAGAGGGAACAGGAACAAAGGGCTTTGGTTTGCTTTCAGAAACAATCCATTGGCCATCCTGATGCCGGCTTTGGCTCCAGCAGCCACTGCATGCATTTCGGGAGCGAGCCGGTAGACAGCAGCCCTCTCGGGGTCTCTCCTCTTTGCCTGGGTCTCCCAAAGGAATTTTGGAAAATGCACCCTGGAAGGCAGAGCCTGATCTCATGGTCATGCATTTTCGACGTGAGCTTGAGCTTCACGAGGAGAAGATGTCCTGCTGCCACACACACACACACACACACATAAATACAAACCCACACACACAGTGAGACACAGACACAGAAAGTCACACACACATACATACTCATACATACACACCCACACACCCACGACATACATACATACATACACACACATACATACATAAGAACCCACACACTAACACAAAGACAGACACATACAGACACACACAGAAAGATACACACATGTACATACACACATATGCAAACATATATACAAACCCACACACAAAAACAAACAAGACACACACAGACAAACACACACATACATACACATACATACATTCATACACACCCACACCCACAGCCTGTGAAGGCAAGTGCCAAGCTCCCAGTTTTCTCCCAGCTCATGAGAAAGACAGAGAGAGAGACAGAGAGAGAGAAAAACTGCATAGGGCTTTGGAGGAAGCCCTCAGCCATGGAGGGGTTGGAAAGAGATGGAGAAAGAGCCGCAGGCAGAGGAGAAGGAGGCCAGAAGCACATGTGCGTGGTTAGAATGCAGCCACTGGGGCCGGCCCCTGGGAGGCCTTGCAATGCTGGGTTCCTATCCCAGAGTCCCAGTTGGAGTCCCGGCTACTCCACTTCCCATCCAGCTCCCTGCAAATGCACCTGGGAAAGCAGTAGAAGATGGCCCAAGTACTCAGGCCCCCACACCCACATGGGAGACCCAGATGGAGCTCCCGGCTCCTGGCTTTGGATTGCACCAGCCCTTGGCCATTGCAGCTACCCATGCAAATACACATACAAAGTAAAAGTTTTTTTCATTTTCAGAAGGCGCCTGGCATTGTGGCAGAGTGGGTAAAACCCACCACTGGCAACACTGCTGTCCCATATGGACACTGGGGCAAGGCCCAGCTGCTCCACTGCCTATGCAGCTCCCTGCTCATGTGCCTAGGGAAGCAGCAGAGGACGGCGCAAATGATGGGACCCCTGCACCCATGTGGGAGAGCTTATTTTTATTATAAAACTTGCATTCAAGGATATACTTTTTTTTATTAAAAAAAAAAAAGGTCTATTCATTTATTTGATGGTCAGAGTTACACAGAGAAAGAAGGAGAGACACACACACAGAGAGAGAGAGAGAGTGTTCCATCCACTGGTTCACTCCCCAACTGGCCACAATGACATGAGCTGTGCCAATCCAAAGGCAGGAGCCAGGAGCTTCTTCTCGGTCTCCCTTGTGGGTGCAGGGGCCCATCTTTTCCTGCTTTCCCAGGCCATGCCAGAGAGCGGGATCAGAAGAGGAGCATCCTGGACTTGAACCAGAGCC